GTAGTCGTACAACCCATCCACGTCTAGATATTCCGGAGTGGCTTACCCTTTCACAGTAGATAGCTTACCCTGAAGGGTGTCGGGGAATTAATTTACCCTCTCACGCTGGAAAGTTTACCCTGATAGGTGTCGGGGAATTAGTTTACCCTATCACGCGGGATAGCTTACCATGATGGGTGTATAGGAATTAATTTACCCTCTCGCGCTGGAGAGCTTACACTATGTCTGCGGGGCAGCAGAAGTCTTCTGCTTTGTCACAATGTTGGTCAGCTTGTTTATGCATTTGACCCAGGCTTGTCAATAAATCCTTCAATCTTTGTTGAAGATAGAGGCTTTTATTAACTTTGCTCATAGGCAATAATGGCATAACAACTGATAATCCTCAGCATGCGAGGTCTAATTTGTCGAGCTGCTTGAGTCTTCAAACTTTGTCATCTTGAACAGGGTCCAAGGAATGGTGGGAGATCACATGTAGTACTTTTGGAATGGTGGGAGGTCACACGTAGTACTTTCTCAGGTTGTAGGCATTCCACAGCTTGTCGACTTCTTTGTCGCTCATAGTGGTGAGGGTGTAGCTGCCTATTCCGCCTACCTGGCTGATTTTGTATAAACCTTCCCAGATGGGAGCCATCTTTTTGGAGCCTTCCTGTCAGGCGGTGATGAAGGCTTTTCTGAGGACTAAGTTTCCTGACTGGAACTACCAGATATTTGCCCTTTTCCGCCTTGAATCTCTTGACCTAAGTGCGGAGTGACTCATTCAGGTCATTCTTCATGTTGAAAAGGTGGTCAAACTTCTTTTTGATCAAGCGGTAGGACGAATATTCCTTGGAGCATCGTGGCAAAGATTGTGCACATGAGAGCATCATTGTTGGCGTAAAGGGTCATGGCATTTCGGTAGTGCATCAAGTGCATGTCCGGATCTTCATCTTCCCTAAATAAGGTGAAATGTGGCGGGTTGAACTTCCGCGGTGGCTCCGTCTTATCGATCTTGTCTGTAAATGGTGACTTGCTCAGGTTGGCCACGTCTCTACGGAGGGCATCGTCAGTAGTGTCAATACGCAGGAATCCGCGCAGTTGCTCTGCTACGAGCCTTTGTACTTCATCCTGGATTTGTGCATGGTACGGCATTGGAGCCTTCAACTGTTCCCGGTGTTGACCTGCCGATCCATGTTGCTCTTTCCGCTCGTCTTGCTCATTTGTGTCACAGTTGCTGTACACGTAGTTCATGTTGTGTTGCTCATCATCGCTTTTGGCAAGGGCTACCAGTGGAACTTGAATTGGACTATTCACGTGCTCTTCTCTGGTCAACATGCGGCTGCCTACTCCGTTGCCTCATAGGAGGATCTCCTTGTAGGCCTAGCCTCATGTGGACATTTCACCTAAAATGTCCTGGGTGCTCGTTGAAGTATGGACCCAACCTTGAATGCACACTGACTTGTGAGCCGAGTCAGGAATGAATGTTTCCCTGTGCATTTAGGTAGGAGAATACGTTTCCTCATAGGCCCAAACGAGAGTGCACACTACTCGAACGCACGGTTCGTTGCCTGGACGTTGCTAGAATGAGTCACGTTCTTCCGTCCTTATCCTGCTTCAGGACACCTCATCTGGGGTGCGCGGCTTCTCGATACACTCAAAGCGTTGGTTCACCAAGGTGGTCTGTTGCGCGAGGGCGTTCGTCAAATTGGCAACATGCTAGGGCAGGTGGTGCTCGCCATTTGGATTGGAAAAGCTTGGATGATGGGCATCTCCATGTGTGGTGGAAGTATAGTGGACTGTAGGTACAAAGCTTGAGCCCAAAGCGGGCATTCCTGCAAAAAAGTGTGGTCTAAGTAACCCTGAATGGATCGCAGAACCGGTGGTCAGAATCTGGACTGGAGATGGCCTCGGAATGGATTGGGTCGCAGGCCAGATTATCGAAGCGGGTCGAGGGACGCGTTGGGCCAGCGCCTGCTCGCCTTAGATCTGCATGGCCGTGAGCCTTCAGGGCCGTTGGGCTGCCACATCTTGGCCTGCTGGCTGAGTGGCTTGGGCTTGGGCCCGTTGAGCTACCTGGCTGGCAACAGCTACCGAATTCTAGGCTCGGGTTTGGGCCTGCTGTGTAACAAGGTCTGCTGCTGCATTAGGCTGGGCCTCCTGCCCAGGGCTTGCTGTGGCAGCTGCTAAGTTATGGGCCTCCTACCCATGGGCTTGGATGCCGTGGTTGCTGGGTCACTGTAGTGATGGTGGTGGCGTGGCTCCACGACGATGGGGCTCCTCCTGCCATCGCGTTGAGCCTTAAGGATCTCCGTTGTGGGGCTATGTCCTCGTTTCTACTCTCGGGTCCAAATCCTTCCACGTATAAGGTTCATTTCGTCGTAGTTTATGAATTTCCTACCATTGTATCCTTTCTCCAGGGATTGATCAAGAAACTTTTCTAGGAAAAATTAATTGATACAACGTGTGAGAATTTCAACGTAAGAAAATTCAAGAAACTAATACGAGAGGCTTCTTTGAGTATTTTGAATTAGCTCTCAATGAAAGCACCAATTTGTTGATGCAAATTTCCGCCGTCTTCAGTCTTGACCAAATGCACCTGCAAAATAATCAACACCTTTGATCAAAGACCTAAGCCTCACTCACCCACGAGGTGGGGGGGGGTTTAGGTCAACGGATCTCCGATACCTAAGTTAGTTTCTCTGAGAGAGTAAAGTGTTTAGGGCTTTTTTAGGGTTGCAAAGCTCTCAAAATTTGATAGAATATGAGGTATTTATAGGGCTAGGGCCTGCCATATAGTGTTTAATGGAGAAATATTCTCTAAATATTCCCAAGATATTTAATAGGAAATAATATATTAAGATAATGGGTAATTATCCCGATTTGATTTAAATGGTGATTACTTTCTTGATTTGAGTTAATCTTCAATTAGGAATGTATTAAAGATAGGATTTGGGTAATTAATCCTTATCTTTAATTATTTGCCAAGGGCAGGTGAGTTGTGGGCAGTTGTGTTCTGCTGATGAGCCCTCCAGGGATGTGAGCTACGTGTGGGAGCATCTGAGAAACCTGCCCATTTATTGAGGATAATCTTGTCATTCTTGAATAAAAGTCCACATGTCGCTTCTAGAATTGTTGAGATTATTTTAGGCTCCATTCCTGAGTCGCCACGCTGGCTCATCATGCAAGGGAGACTCGGAGACGCCAAGCGAGTCCTAAATAAAACATCATATTCTGAATAGGAATCGCAGCTCAGACTAGACGAGATTAAAGAAGCTGCAGGAATCCCCAAATACTGAAAGGATGAGGTCGTTCAGGTTTCTAAACGCAGCCAATTAGGTGAAGGTATATGGAAGGAATTGCTCCTCTGTCCCACACCGGCAGTGCGTCTCATTTTAATAGCAGCCCTTGGTATCCACTTCTTTCAACAATTGTCGGGTATAAACTATGTGGTTTTGTACAACCCCAGGATCTTCGAGAAGGCGGGAATCACTTCTTACAATGACAAGATGCTTGCAACTGTGGCTGTTGGATTTGTCAAGACCATTGCAATCTTGGTGGCAACATTTCAAGTTGATCCATTCGGACGTCGTATTTTGCTTTTGAGCAGGGTGGGTGGAATGGTAGTTTCTTTTACGCTGCTTGGTGTGGGTCTTACGGTCGTTGATCAATCCCACAGCAAGGTCCTGTGGGCCGTCGGGTTGTGCATCGCCATGGTACTGTTCATCGTTGCTTTTTTCTCCATCGGGTTGGGACCCATCACGTGGGTTTACAGCTCTGAGATCTTTCTGTTACAGTTGCGCACACAAGGGTGCAATATGGGGGTGGCTGTGAACAGGGTGACGAGCGGGGTCATCTCAAAGACTTTTATTTCATTGTATAAGGCCATCACGATTGGTGGGGCCTTCTTTCTTTACGCGGGAATCGCTGCGCTTAGTTGGGTCTTCTTTTATACGTTGTATCCAGAAATGCAGGGTCAATCCCTTGAAGATATGGAGGTCTTGTTTGGTAAATACCACAAGTGGAGAGAAGCCAATGCCATGCTTAACAAGACTAAGCAAGCTGATCATGGTATTGGTGACGACAACAAGGTTCAAATCCATTAGGAATAGAAGGGCAATGTTTAATGCACTTTATGATGATGATCAATTCCTTTATCTCATATATTTCGGATATATGCAATTGTACTTATATCTGTTTGATATCCTACTCAAAACAACTTCAATTATTATTTTGTATGAAGCATCTATTAGAGTAATTTTCATTAAGACCGAAAAACTTGTTTGGTAGTGAAATTGAAAATTTTTGAAAACTTTTGGTTTTCACCATTAGTGAAACATAGATCTTGAACAATCCCTCTAGCCTTTATATTAGATTCTGAACTTCTAAAAATAATAATGCTAACTTCCTTATCTGGTCAAGCATGAGTTCCGATTCCTAGAGTAATTCGCATCTATCATAACTCATCTTGATCCTTGGTAATTTTAATTCATTTAAGACTCGACCGAGCCACGCCTGAACATGATCCTTCAACAGTCCTGCTCCTATAGGAACTCGATGGAATTAAAATTCTCTTGGGCCAAAAGCCCACTGGCCTAGAATCATTAATGGACCGCAAATTATGGCCTTTCAACTCGGCTGGCCCATTCTCGGCTTCAGCCTGCATTTCAGGTCCAAACAGTTCGTAACGCAATATATGCCCCCTGTGGAAGATACAAAGCTATCTATCTATGTGATTAAAGAAACAAAAAATTAAGAATACTTTGCACAAAATTAACCCTCGCTGGCACTACATGAGTAAATCAATGATTAATTACCAAAATAGTAACCTTTACATCGGTGTTGGATTAAAAATATAAGAAAACACTAAAATTAAATCTATTTCTTGGTAAGTTGAAGAAAAAATCAATTGGTCTTCATACAACAGCGGAACTGTAAGAACGGATCTCCCGACACAAAGTTGGAATTTGTTTTGCTTTAGTCCGTAACTTACTCGTTTCGGAATGTTTATAAGGGGAGCCTGCATGCAGACATATCATCAGTTAACTTGGTTCTTACCCACCTTCCTTCGTAAGATACAAATCATCACAAATCCAAATAAACGCAAGTTAGCAGAGTACTGGCGAATTGTTCAGCACTTGAGAGCTTGTGTTCTGAAAACAAAAGATCCAAATCCTATTCCCAAAACAAAAAACAGCACCTTGGTGAATGAATAAAATTCTCGAGTAATAGCATATTCTTTCATTGACAAGTGATCTCTCTGTGTTCTGTCTGTCTATTTGTCTATCGATCTCTAGCTAGCTCTAACAATGGAGATGGCTGACCGGAAACCTCAAAATACTGAAGCCTCAGGCCAGAAGACTATTGCGGACTTTGATCCCCCCAAGGCCCCGAAGACAAAGAAGTTCGCTATTGCCTGTGCCACTTTGGCTTCAATGACTTCAATCTTGCTGGGCTATGGTAAATTTAATTGTCCATTTACCTCATGCATGTGGATTTTTCTTTTGGTATTTTTTTCCTTTTCATGTGTGTTATTACGTTGTCTGATCTCCGCGTGCAATGCACGTTGATGTCATTTTTACATACAGATATTGGTGTGATGAGTGGAGCGTCACTCTTCATCAAAGAAAACCTGAAAATCACCGACGTACAAGTTGAAGTCCTCAACGGTACTCTGAACCTGTACTCCCTCATCGGTTCCGCCTTGGCAGGAAGAACATCCGATTGGATTGGCCGACGATACACCATTGTCCTCTCTGGAGCCATCTTCTTTGCTGGAGCCCTCCTGATGGGATTTGCCCCCAACTACGCCTTCCTCATGTTCGGCCGATTTATTGCTGGAGTTGGAGTTGGTTACGCTCTTATGATAGCTCCTGTCTATACAGCCGAAATCTCTCCAGCCTCATTCCGTGGCCTCCTCACATCTTTCCCTGAGGTCTGTTTCTTTGCTTGATTATCTCATTGTATAATTAATCCACTTGTAGGAAAATATGAATCAATAAATTTGATTTGTTTCAAAATATGCAGGTGTTTGTTAATGTTGGTATATTACTTGGGTACGTATCCAACTATGCCTTGTCCAAGCTCCCGATCCACTTGAACTGGAGGATCATGCTCGGCCTTGGCGCAGTTCCCTCTCTTTTCCTCGCCGTCGGCGTCCTAGCCATGCCTGAGTCACCACGCTGGCTCGTCATGCAGGGGCGACTCGGAGACGCCAGGAAAGTCCTGAACAAAACTTCTTGTACCCATGAGGAGGCTCAGCTCAGACTAGACGAGATCAAAGAGGCCGCTGGAATCCCAAAAGAGTCCAACGAGGATATCGTTCAGGTTTCGAAGAAAAGCAAAGGTGAGGGCGTATGGAAAGACTTGATCGTTCGGCCCACCCCAGCTGTCCGCCATATTTTGATCGCGGGAGTTGGTATCCACTTCTTCCAGCAAATCTCCGGTATTGACTCCGTCGTGTTGTACAGCCCCAGGATCTTCGAGAAGGCTGGAATCACTTCCTACAATGACAAACTACTTGCAACCGTAGCCGTTGGAGTTGTCAAGACCATTTTCATCCTGGTCGCCACCTTTATGCTTGACAAGTTCGGACGTCGTCCTTTGCTTTTGACCAGTGTGGGTGGAATGATCTTCTCTCTCACATTGCTCGGTGTGGGCCTTACAGTCGTCGATCATTCCCACGGCAAGGTCCAATGGGCCGTCGCTCTGTGCATTGCGATGGTAATGTTCAACGTTGCGTTTTTCTCCATCGGGCTTGGACCCGTCACCTGGGTCTACAGCTCAGAGATCTACCCGCTGCAGCTCCGCGCGCAAGGGTGCGCTATGGGAGTGGCCATGAATAGGGTGATGAGCGGAGTCATCTCCATGACTTTTATTTCATTGTATAAGGCCATCACGATCGGTGGCGCCTTCTTCCTTTATGCCGGAACTTCGTCGATTGCTTTTATATTCTTTTACACAATGCTGCCAGAAACACAAGGCCGAACCCTCGAAGATATGGAGCTCTTGTTTGGCAAATACCATAAGTGGAGACAAGCGAATGCCATGCTCAAGAAGAAGGAAGCTGCTGAGAAAAGCCAAAGCGCTTAGGAATAATAGGGCAACAAACTCTTACCATATTTTTCATATTTACGTTTGTACAACTCTCTAATAGAGATGAGAAACACATGTTGATGGCCCTTCCTCTATTAGAGAGGTAGTACAAGTGTGGAGTGAAAATTTTGGTAAGTGAATGCCCTAGGTTTTTGTTCTAAGTTTTCTCTTATGCCCGAACGTTCTTGCAACGGGGCTGCTCATTCCGTCGCCTCCCTTTGTGTTCAATAAAGGAGGCGTTCGTCTTTGGGACTTGGTTGCTCCTATTTAGCTTTTCAATGTACTTCGTTTCGGATGTAAACGTTTCAATCCGTACTTAATAAAAGCTCTATTGTTTCAACAAAATACACACACAAAAATGCAATGCTTAATTGCTGAATGTACTTAATGATGGTTGTTTATCATTATAAAAGTTTTTACTTTCAAAATTTTATTGGTGTTTCGGTGATATGTAGCTCAAACTCACTCTTCACCTTATCTTCTTAATTTGTTTAAATAAAAAGATCTTATATGGAACAAAGAGATAAATTTAAGATGAAATGAACTAGACATGCATGTTTATACAAGGATTGTTCTTCTTCTAAACACGGGGCTTATAGTACCCTTGCATCGAGATTTAGTGTTTGATTCTCCTTCTTGTGGTTTATAACTCGAGTAGTTAAGAACATGATCTAAATAATTATTTATTGTCTACTATTCCAATTCCCCCTCAATGTAGTTTGTATAAAAGAATCATCACTTTAGCCCTACTATAGTTCCTTCTTCTAATTCGTTTTCCCCATTGACAATTATTACTTGCACCTTTTTTCAGTAAAGTGCGGATGGACATGCAAAAGAGTGCGAGGCTGATTCCCCTTCGTCCAGTATTTACCCTAAACTTTAGCCAAAAAAAATGACCATGACGCATGAATTTCCAAGTTTTAAGCACTAATACGATTGGCATATATAACGGTGAAAAAAGAGAGAAGGATTATGTGTAATATATCTCAAGCACTAACCCGTCAGTAAGCTAATTCAGATGATTATTGAAAAATGCTATCTAATAAAGTTCATTCAAAACGAAATCGTTTGATTAATACAGGTTGTTATTTGGTACCATATTCTTCAGATAGACGGGTGCACAAGTGGTGCATCATATTGAGTACGGGCTCGAGTTAAGGTGTAAAATTCACGAGCGGCATTACTTGTACAGTTGTACTTGCTCCCGTTATATTTCTTACATCGGTTATGTTTGCAGCCGATAAGAAAAACTGCAAAAGATGCAAATACTTGCTTGAAAAGCAAACAATAAAGCTCAAATAACTGGAGAGTGAATGCTGTGAGGCGATGTTTATGGTCGTTAATCTACGATGATCCGTTAATGAACTCAGGTTACTCACTGCGACTAAGGAACTCGACATCACTATATAATTTACTGATCATAACGCACTGCATATCTTATACATAAACGACAGTACTGTTTACATATCAATCGTTAAAACATATATTCAACGTAAATAACTACGACCACAAATAGGCTGGGACTTATGGAATTCTTGTATGACGCATACGTGTTTGGATCAGTTATCCGAGCTATGAGCTTCCAAATGCAGTGTCATTTACCTGTTGGAACAACAACAATACATAATACGTCAACCAAATACTAAAAGATTTCAATGTCAGAACTCGATGTTTATCATTTAACCGTCCGACTAAATCAAATAAAATTTTCTTTAACCAACAAGAAGTTGTAGCTCACCATTGCAAACTTGTCCGGTATCTCATGAAATCATTAGTTTACTTTCAAACTATTAGAAGAGACGATAATTAATTAGACAATCCAGACGAATGCCACTTACCATAGTTTTGGCGCACGGTAGTGAACCTATAGATGGCTTTAATAAGGGAGCCATATTTCATACACTTCAATTCTCCCATGTGTCTGTAAAGCGAATATGGGACAATCAGTTCAAGAAACAAAATGTGTGCAAATAGTCAATACATGTAGGGAAAAAAAAAAACAGGAATCACACAAGACAAAGGAGATAAGTTTCTGAGTCTACGATAAAATAAAATACAAGTCTAACATGCAGCTGTGCCTGTATATGGATGACCTAGAGACAAAGATTACCCAGCCCAAAATGAGAAAAATTAAGTTAAGGATTGCTATTGAGAAACAACTGACAACGTGGTTGCCAGCCCTATTTAGAATAGTTATTTCAGGCCAAGAAAGTAATTACAAAAAATACTTTCCGCGTCTAATTATGCAAACGGAGGGTCTAGCCCTTTAGTCTCGTCAAAGTCCTGGAGCCAAACAAATGGGACACCCACCTCCCCACAAAACTCATGTAAAGGTCTCCTAATCAGGGTATAGGAAAAAACCGGCAAGAGACACTATGGTAAGTACTAACAAATAACAATGAATCTGATAAGAAATCCCCCTTTTTGTTCTTTATAAATCATTTCCTACCAAACAGGAGATAAAATTAGATCCACTGCTAACTTACAGCTACGTAGCTCTTGCAGCCAAAACTTTTGGGATATTTAAATTAGGACATACTGCAGAAAAGAACCTTTGACATAAGTTTCGTATGCTCATTAAACAGGGCAAACATTTTGTTAAGAGTCGACCAGACGAAAATCTTGAAAATCCCAATAGACAGACTATAACAAAATGATTATTACTATAATACGTGTGCACACACACACACACACACATGGATATGTACCTATTATACACAAAACAGCGGGCTTAAAACTAGGTATTCTCTTCAGCTCTGGTCTATTGTGTGGTTTACTCCATCCTTCCCATACCATCGCTTCATGTTTAAGTTTCCGTAAATATCAAGTGCACATATACAATAAATTATATAACTAAATGCATCGCCAATTTGCTTAGAAATACTCACATGATCTCAGTATACCGGATTCTCCATGCAGGGAAACCAAGGTGGCATCTTGCAGGTCCATAAACTAATAGCAGGTCAGGGTCTGGCCCTCTGCAACCTGAAGGCAGAATACCATAAACACCCAGAAGGTCAAATTAAAATTTTCAGTAATCATGATTTTGACTGTTGACGAAACTCACAGTAAAACATACCAATAGCTTTTAGTGCCTCGTCCATGTTAGGTTCTGTAAAGATTTTCTCTTCATGATCTCCAACTAAGTTGGCTAATTTCAAATACTTTGCAAAAAGTAAGTTAGCTGCTTTGGTCACAGCTTCTTTTCCATCAGAGAACGACGAAAATTCCAAAGCCATGCGCTTTTGGTCAAGTAACCCTTCATCACCATCCTGCACATAATGGATGCTAAGTTGGTTATAAACTTTGGTCTTGTCATAATGCAATATATGTTCATTGTGAAAGACACAAAGTACATAACATATGTAATTAAAGAAACACAAAAGAAGACTGCTTTGCATAAACTTAACCCCCTGGGACTACATCATAAAACAATTACGAATTACTAAGGTGGCAGGTTCATACAAGCATCACCTAAAAAATATAGTACAAAAATAAAATGAGATATTACAATTAAAATAATTGCTTGGTTCGTGATCATGACAACCTGGACTGCCTCCCAGTATGCTAATTACTTCAATCAATTTATGGTGGCAAAATGTAGAACAAGAAGTAATTTAGGGACAGAATACAGCACCTCAAATTCTGTTGCATTCTTCAGTTTATTCAAGATGGCTCCTTTTGATTTCTTCAAAACTCCTAGGATCAAAAAAGAAAAAGAATTAGCGAAGGTTGGAATACATATATCACATTGTTGCCTACCAATGGTAGAAGGCATCTGCCATCAATCAGAATAAGAAAGCACCATTACCTTCCGTATCATAAAGGCACACACGCTTCACGCCAATAGCTTCTAGCCACTGCAGAAGCTCAATAACTTTTGAAGTTTGGTAAGCTTCTTCACTTTCTATCACAATAGCTAGGTACTTTAGCTTTCCCAAATCAAGGGCTTTGTAGTTCTTGAGTACTCCACCAGAAATAAGATAGCTTTCGAACACAAAAGCTAAATCTAATAGAAAGTACCATATGCTAACAAAAAGATGTAGAATATGCCATAGGAGCACAAGCCCAAGATTGCCAATCTGCACCAGCCGCAACCCAGGATTAACGTTGACTTTAACATCAAAGTAAGCATTTAAATATGCACATGAATCAGCCATATTCATGTAAAGTGCCCCAAAAACAACAATTAATTCCACTCTCAAAAAGAACACGTCCTTTTTACGCTCATAATCATCCCATAAGAATCACTAGATTAAAACTCATTAACATTACAATTACATGACAGAACAACAATATTAGTTACAGAGTTGTCATCCAAAAATAAAGCTTCAAACAAAAGAAACTTGAATGGACTTACTTGAGCAGCACAAAAGGACACCCTCTGCATTTCCATCTGAAAATCCATCACTCTGAAAAAAGAAAAACAAAAAATCAATTCAAAGTTCAAACCCACTTAAACCCAGCAACCCAAATATTATTATAAATCTAATCAGAGACTAATCTGAAATCCATAACATCTGCTTCCGGATAAGAAAATGGCTTTTATTATCTGAAATACGATATCAATTGCTATTATAAAATTGTATACGAGGTTATATCGCCTGACAAACTGAGTTACAAATTCGTATTGGAAATGTGAATTTTAATGAAATAAAAATTTTAGGAGGGTTGAACCCCTAATCAAGTTGACCTTGAATTTGACTAAGATGGGTTTCTTCCCTAACTCCCGCGTTCATGTTTTGGATGAATTGGCGGGCTCAATCTCTAAAAGCTAACATCTTTCTAAACTTAAAAATCCTGGTAAACTGTTGGCAGAATTTTATTGTTTTGTCGTCATTCGATATAACAATACATTCAAGCAAGTTCAAACTTCCGGAAGAAACCCAAAATTCGAACAAATAAAAAAAATCCAAAATTCGAACAAATAAAAAAAATCCAAAATTCATGCTTATGAGCAACAAATATACAAGGGAAGAAGTGAAAAGGGTAAAACTGATTTTCATGCTTATCAGGATTAAGCTACAAATCAAACCTAAAAATGAATCTTAACTAAACCCCGAATTCCCAATTAGAAAAAATAAAAAATAAAAACAAAATAGGAAAGAAGAATAGGTAGATTACGATACCTGAAGGAGTAGGTGAGTGAAGCTTTGAGGAGGAAGCTACGAACCCTAAATCCCAATTTACAGAATCGGTGATGATTTATCAAGCTTGGAAAAACAAGACTCAGAGAGGAAAGTGAGGAGTTGCTGTGTGGAAGCAAATTGAAGCTTCACCAATATATAGAGGATGATCGGAGAACCGAACCCAGAAGAAGTGTGTGTGTGTGTGTGCGCGCGCGCTGGGTTTTTGGGTAGACGATTTGTGGTTGCTGGGTTTTGATGTGGAATTTGTGGATTGTCATTTTTCACGCTTGTACATGATTTTTTTGGTTCACTCAATTCTGCTCACGTAAATCCCTTCTTTTTTTCTGTTCAGGTTTTTTCGTGCCGTCCAACAGCTTTTGAGATGATAATTTTTTTTAAATATAAGTGGAATTAAAATATATTAATTAATGAATATCTGCTTTAGAGAGGGAAAGATAGTGAAGATTTCTGAATTGGAAAAGAATTAAATTGACGAGAATCAAAATTTAAATTTTCATAAAATATAATTATTAAAAATGCTTTGAAATTAGAATAAAAATAGTAATGATTTCACAAAATTATTTGGAATATAAATCAATATAATTACTAAAATGCTTTTGCACCAAGTCAAATAATTTATATGCTAGTTTTTGTAATACAATTTTATATATAATATATCATAGTATAAAGAAATTTAAATTGCTTTTTTGTTTCATAGACACATTAAGAGAAAGTGTGATAGGCGTGAAAAACTAAAGATATCCAAAGGGTTTTGATGGGTTAATACGAAGGGCAATCTTGAAATTTTAGAAATAAATAAGGGTACATTCTGCATTACCTCAACAACTTGAAATTCAAATACTACCAAATTGTAGGAGTCTAATTGCTCCAAATTTTGGAGTTAAATTTCAAAATTTGTGTGATTTCCACTAATTTTTTTTAAGGAAAACTAAAGAAAAAGACTTGAAAACTTTGAATTTTAATTATAAGGATAAAATAAAAGGTAAAGTAAATAGTATCAGGATTGACTTTTTAGTGTAAAAATGTGGTTTTTCGTTAAAGTGAACAGTACCAGGTGCTTTTCGTTAAAATCCCATTTTTTTTTATTCTCCAGTATTTGATAAAGAACGAAATAGCCAGTAATTAAAATTTAATTCTGTTTTTTATTTGGATTACGTTCATGCAAACGTGTTGCTAGAATCGTCTAGAAAAACAACAATAAGACACGGCCCCATGATCTTTCATATGGTACGTGGCACAATTACATGCGCTTTGCTAGAACATAAGAGTTCTTATTATAATACCGCCTGCATCCTTGTTTGGTATGTTGAATTGGATTGAAATAAATAATTTTTTAATTTCAAGGTATATTGGAGATGAAAGTGCATAGTTCTTCGGTTAAAGAGACTAGGAAAATGTCACATGTGATGCATGTGGTGGGAAGGAGTTACATGCGTAAAAATATATTAGAAAGGTGTGATCATTTAGTACTACGGTTTAGTGATATTCCTCTTTACTTGTGAGTGAGAAGTCTTTGGTTTGATTCTCGCCAAAGACGAATTTGAACAACATTATTACTAGCACATTATGAGACTAAATCCACCTCCTCTCTCTTAGATAATATAGGTTGTTAAAAAAAAATAATAAGTGCAAGAACAAGTAGAAAAGTGTGTGCTAGTGACTAGAGTATTCTTCTTCAATCCGGTAAATAATTGATTAGGAAAGAAACTCATTCCTTCTAATCCTACCATTTTAGAGAAATTTGAAATGTATAAGTTTCACTATAATCCGAGAACTTAGGTTTTTCATTTCTTCCCCACCATACTTCAAATTTGGTGATTGGTGCAATTTGACTTTAAAAACTATTAATCCAACTCTCGATCTAATGATACTTCTCTTCCTAACGTTAAAAATAAAGTTCAAGTTTGACACCCCAAAAGCCCCCACTCATGAAACAAATCTCAATGCAGAATGCATCAACTTCAGCATCTGGTTGATCTGAAACTCCATGTAGCTAAACCCACAAAAATTACAAAGAAAACAAAGGACAAAAGGGAAAATGTGCTATAAATAAACCATTAGTTGCTGTTCGCGGCTCTTGCCCAACTGTTACAAAAAGAAAACTCCACAACAAATACCCCACTGTCGGTGTGTAACAATACATTAGGCAAGAAATGGCAGCTCTATGACTCTGAGGAAAGCCTTTATCAACCGAATAGCAGAAGGCAGAAAAACGTGGACAAGGAACCTCATATCGCTGCCAAATTCATGACACTGCATATCATCCAAACAATGGACACGGAACCTTGCCTTCCTTAGCTTGCTTTAATATATTACAATATTCGCATTGCTAACGGCCATGCCCATAGACATAACAGTCTCTTGCTAGCTTTAATATATCAGTTCTCCTTTGCTCTAATGTCACAAAACAAAACACACAGTACCAAACCTTCTAGTATATAGTATTACTCAACTAAAACGTCAGAGCACAAAAGAACAGACATTTTAAGATAAACCGAGTTTTAGTTGTTTTTGAAATCCTCAATCATTTACAATTGTATACATAACAAAGAAAATGGATTGATAGAAAGATTTAAGCATACAAGAGGTTTGAACTGACTAAGAAATACCAGATATAAAAAATATCGACTTTCCATTCAAAATTGTACGCCCAACACTTGTCTTTGATGAAAGAATTTGAAACACAAATATACAACAGATTCATTTAGAAACAACAATTTTCAGGATGTGTAGATATAGAAATAGATCTACAGCAACCGCCAATACGATAAATAGTGAGGCACCTACTTCAGAGAGTCATTGCATGCTACATGTTTACATACAAAAACGAGACCAAATATCATGATGATTTAGGTGAGCTAATGTATGCACATCAGATACGCATAAATTTCAACGACAAATTCTTATGTCTTCCCCACCTTTACTTAAGTACTAAGTTTATTAAAGGAGCCAATGCGGTAGAACCTAATTACACAAGGAAATTAGGAAGTAGCAAACCCTAAAAGCTACATTCAATATCATTTGGAAGGGATGGTCAATATTGTGCTCGGAAAAATGCCTCCAATGAATCCTATCATCTTCTCTCAATACAGGGTAAGAAATCAAATCACTTTCATACCTATTGAGCTGAATCTTCAGAGAATCTACCATCAAAAGGAGTTGACGGATGAGAATGTGCCGCACCAGCAGCAGTTCCAGAGCCATGTTGAAGTTCTATAACAAGCCATCGAACTGCTTTACTCATCTGTTCCAACCGAACCGCACTAATGGGTGGCAGACCAGTTGCGCTGTGCCCACACTTCCCAGCCACCAAGCCAGTTGCCTCATCCACCAGGCACTCTGAGCCAATCCTTTGCTTCACAGACTCCACAAACTCCTCTGCTTGATCACAAGTGACTCTGAAAAGTTCCCACTTCTGCTTAAAATTCTCAAGAGCAGCATCCGTGGCTGCTGTTTTCTGGCCACCAGAAGTTTCCTTGGATTCGAGCACATTAACTGCTGCAACAACGAACTCTTGGTATGCACTATTTAGGGAATCTACAATGCTGTCCATTTTGAGGCTCGTGCTTCCTAATGAATAAGGTACAAATGTTAGGAAACTATGAACTACTGACGAAAGCTAATAACTTGCATATATGAAGATAACTAATATAGAAATACTGGTTACTTATCGCTTTATACTCATGCTGAAACAACAATACAATGAAAGAGAAAAAAAAAACTTTAATTTAATCTCTTTTTATCTATATAATTTGAACAAGAATTTCGTGTTAAATAAAAAATCCTATGTCACTTCAAACCTGGGTTTACATTACATACATTCAAATAACAAAGCCATTAAATGCAGAAACTAAATTCAAAAAGGAAAACATTTTACAATATGATGGTAACATACAAAGACCGATCAACATTCACAAATCTCATAAAATTAAACAGAAAAGCAACCCAATAAAAGGAGGATAGTCAACAATGCTTCCTTTTATGGGGGTTTCCACACATACTTGTGAGGAATGACACATTATTCGGCAAAACCAAGGACAGTCAATAATGTTTCATGTTACGTGTCTTACATTTACAGTCTTGTCGTCAAAACGTATAACATGACACAATATTCAGACAACCTTACCCAAGCAGGACTTAACAAGGAAAAGGCTAAAGTAATAGCTGCTTTCTTTTATGCCACCAAATCTGTTATAAGATCACCAATTTTATGTTCTGAGCTATGTACCAAGCATGGTTAGTACACCATTAACTACATAAAACGAATACAGGCTATTGCGCATACAGATCAATGAATAGATTAGCAAGGAATTGAGTAATTAGATCACCGAATCAGAGTCCTACCAATAGAGTAACAAAGAACGCCTTTAAAAAAGTAAAGGAACATCAGAAGCCTAAGTTTAAGCTAATCACAACTATTTTACATACAGACCAACGAATCATCCTCGTGTACCTATACTTTGACATATGACATACCAACATGTCAACAAGTTTGTGAAAATACACAGCAACAAGGCATTTCGTCTCCGAACTCTGGATATAAGGGTCAAAAAACTATTTTATAAACGCAACAATCCGCGCAAATACACTACAGCTCAATACTCCTGACTTCCTTATTCATCCTCACCTCAGAGCTTCCCCATTTCCTCCAAACAAAAATACAAATTCAATCCCTTCTTCGACAAAAATACAAAGCAAGTCCCATAGAGATCTAAGAATAATTTAAACTCAAATGTTAATAATTACCAGTAAATTCGAAATGCTATTTTGATATCTCAGGGGGTGGGATTAAGAACTGAAGACATTATTAATTGGTGTTTAAGCGAAAGTGCAATTATTTATATCCGAAAGAAGACCTCTTTATCATTTGTATTTGGAAGAGAAATACACAAAAATCGAAACACCCCATATGCTTACTTTTAATTCTCTGTTTGAAAAATCCCAATTTTTCCATTTCAAATGGATCCAAGAAACATTCTAGTAAGGGATCAGAGACTTTGATCATCAATGAGTTGTACTGCTACTGCCATTATACTAATGTGCACAAATACTCACAAAAATTAGATACGAGAAAATCATAGAGCTTTCAACGGATTAAACAATAATAAAGTGGATATGATTCAACAAAAAAGCTGGGAAAAGTAAAATATCATACAATCTCAGCAAAAAAACAAAACATACGAAACCCTGAACAACGAAATTGAGAGAAATGACATTACCTGGTGAGGGAGCTGCCGATTGTTATTGAAGATTCAGAAATTCGAAGAAGCGGAAATATTTACAACTGAGAAGAAGAAACAAAGAAATTCAGAAGAGATGAAGAAGAGGGCTTGGATTCGATGGGCTATAGGGAGACTGTTCATTATTTTGTTTTCAACTTATTTTTAGCTATCCAACATAAAACTCGTTTTTAATCCTACTTTTGCCCTTGCCCTCGAACCTTAATAAAAGCCGCGTATTATTTTTTGAAACTCAAAATTTGTTTAGATCTGCTTTATTTCTGATTTTTTATATGAAGTTCATACGTCAATTTTCTAATTCACTTCAGTGTATTTGACTTCTATTTTTTAACAATTAAACGATATTATCAACAATAAAAAGAAGAAGGTGGACGTAACCTCCTATTTATACGGCAACATATAACAAATTTTGAATTTCATGAAGAAAAAAAATGACAAATTTTAAATTTTAAAAAATAAAATGATATTAAATAGAATTTCACGGTGATTAAAAATAAGCCTCTGTTTTTAAAATTGGACAACCCAAGCTATTTGGCAAAATATGCGACTTTCTTATGAGGAACTTAAAAGAATTTTAATTTTTTGGGCCATATAGGTATAAACATGTTTTTTTTTCTTTCTAAGAACTAAGTATCCAAAATTCCTTAATATTTTGGTGTGATTTCAAATTAGTCTTTAATTTTTTTTTAAATTTCAAAAGAGTACTCAACATATAAGAAATCTCACTTCTGTTAACTACCTACATAACATTTATGATTAGATTATTTATAAGGCTTGTTAGCCAAAATTGTTTCTGAGATTGTCATAACTCCTCACTTTAGTTCCTGTGATTTGAAATGTATGGGTAGAAATAGTTCATAAGTTTGTCCACCAGCAATTATTTTGATCATTTCATGAAAAAATCTATGTTAAATAATAACCATACTAACAAAAATACCCTCAATTTAATAAACAGTGGACCAAAATAATATAACAAAAATTAGGGCATTTTGGTCATTTTATCTGTATTTAGAGAATATTTTTCATAAAATAAACAAAATGATTGACGATGGACAAACTCAAGAACTAGTTCTACTGATTTTAAATATCAAAGAACAAAGTGAGGAATTATATCAATCTCAGTGACCATTTTAGTTAAAAAATGTTTTCTAATGACATTATATGAGTTTAACTTTTGACATTTGTGTTGTAAATAACTTGAGTCAAACATCATCGAACGATAATTAATAAGATGGTAAGCAAAAGCGGACTCCATTTGGTGATATCTTACCAACTTGTCTCAATGGGTTTGTGACTCTGAAATCCCCTCACCAAACAAACATAGCCTTCAACTGTTTCTTTGTTCGATCAAGTTGAAACATTGAACACCCTAATCCAAACTAGTTACAGCAAGATCACAGTATTCATGGAGCAATTTTGGTCCTTCCGGATAACATCGCGGCAGTTCAATTGAACCATGCATTAGGAAAATGCCCCATTGAGTTTTCACTTTCACTTTCCAGCTTTGAGACCTGCAAACTCCAAATGGCGAATCGCACTTTACTGGAACGGGAAACCGACACCATTTCCTGTTATATTTAAACAAACATTACACTTCGGCGCTGTAGAATGAGAAACCAACTCCCACTCCAGTCATGGGTTCCGGCCAAACAATCGCGGCCCCAACGTAATCATGGATTCCGGCCAAACAATCGCGGCCCTAAGGTAATCCAAGTTAGGATATGGTTTGATAGAACAAGGGCAGTCCCAACACAATGTGAAAATGGACAGCGGGAAATGCAGAGAATCTCACATCACATAATGGTAAAACTGACAAGGAAGATAGTACAAGGAAAATACATATCAAAATCTTGACGCAGCATGCAGCTTCAAGGAAAAACTGTGATATGGGAAACTAAGTTGATGATGGTTGCCACCTCGTGACCCAGTCCGTCAAAGTCGTAAGATTTGTCGAAATGTCTTGAATACTATCACTCTTCAAAGGAATCACGATATCCTGAGGGTAGCTCTCCTTTGCCTCCTCGAGCAGAGTTTGAAATATTTCACATTCAATATTGTTGGAGAGCTTCGAATTCGAATACCCTCTGTCACATCCAAAAATCCACAAAACGGGACACTCGTAAACACACGGTTGTCAACATGAAGGAGATAAAACAGAAAAGAAAGAGTGAACAAAAAAACCTACCTTCGAGTCAAACGGTCATACAAGACAGTGTTGTCAGTCTGAAGCACAACCACAAGATCAAACCATCTCTCGGGGAAGAAATCGCAACCATGGTAGTCCACTATGTTCCCTCCTTCCTCCATTGTATCCTCAAGCTCATCGCATACCAGGTCTTCATTGATGACGTAACAGTCTAGCTCATCATCCCAGCCGTCATGAAGATTCTTCGCTTTCACCAAATCACCCACATTGATGTGGCGGAGCTGCGTTGCCTCTGCTAAGGCGGACGATGTTGTTGTCTTCCCAGTTCCTGGCGTGCCCGTCACCAATATGTTTGGCCTTGTCCTCACCATGACTCTCTAGTCTGCTTGAGGGCAAAGCCTAGATTAGAGGCGGATAACCTAATACATAATTAACGATAACATTTTTCAGTCCTATAGATAAATACAGTAACAAGATTCGCAACACAACAACTATCAGATCTTCGAAAACCAACACAAGCAAAATCTTATAGTCTCAGCACACCAACTCAACGAGAAAACCATTTGTTGCTAAATATCACAGAGCTATAACCAGTGGTGTAATAGTCAGAACTTAAAATCTAAACAAAAAAGAAACCCACAAACAATTAAATTTAAGGAAACTAATGAAAAAAAGACTTAAATAACTTTGAGATTTAAAGATAAGGACAAAATAAAGAGCGAAGTGAATAGTTCATCATTGATTTTTTAACATAAAAACGTAGTTTTTCGTTAAAATAAACCGTACCTCGAGCCTCGAGCTTTACTTTTCGTTAAAGTTACTTAAATTTAAATTCAAACTTCCGGAAGATACCCAAAATTTGAACAAATAAAAAAAGATTCCAAAATTCACGCTTCCGGAAGAAACCTAAAATTGAATCTTAACTAAACCCCGAATTACCGATTAGAAAAAACAAATAAATGAAAACAAAATATGAAAGAAGAACAGGCAGATTAACGATACCTGAAGGAGCAGGTGAGTGAAGCTTAGAGGAGGAAGCTACGAACCCTAAATCCCAATTTACAGAATCGGTGATGATTTATCAAGCTTGGAAAAACAAGATATATAGAGAAAAGTGAGAGCACCGAAGTAAGGGTAAATTGGTAATCTTCCAATAGAAAGCAAGGGTAAATTCGTCAAAAAAAACTCTATAAACCCTAAACCCTCACGTCGGCCCCTTTCTTCTTCCTGCGGTCGACATAGCTAGAGACGAACAGCGCACAAGCAGCATCCTTTGTTCCCTGCTTTTCGCCTAAACTCTCTGTAAGTTGTACTCGTTTTCGGATTTTAGTTTTGAATTAGGATTTTTTTAATTTCAATTTAGCTTTCTGCTACTATTAGGGTTATACATTCGGGATTTTGATTTCAATTTTGCGTTTGTGGCGTTCGTAATAGTTCTATACCCCAGAAATTTTAAAATAAATTAATAAATTTCTAAACTTTCTGCCTAATTGTTCCAAGTTGGTAATTTTAATTTTTTTTTTTCCGGACATTTGCATTGAATTGCTTCAAAAGTAAGAAATTTGCACCCTCCACCTTGAGGGCTTGATATTTCTTTAGAGGTAAAAATGTGGAAGCAAAACTCTACGATGTCGGAGAGTGTCGAATGCGTCGGGTTGTCATTGAGAATGTTATTAGTGGTAAATGGTTTAATCTGAATTTGTTGTTCTGGCTTCTGCTTTCTTTTTTCATTTTTGCTGTTTGGCAGCAGGATTTTGTAAGAAATGGAACACGGGTCGTTGACTGATCCCAGCCAATCCACATTTTCTTTGGTTGACGAGGATCACACATTTGCAAATGCCGTCAGGTTCACCTTGAACCAGGAGTAAGTGCTTTCCAATTGTTTTAATAAACATCTGACTATTTCTATTGGGATCACTAATCTTCTTCTTTGATGTTTTAGCTCTAATTTTACTTGTCTAAACATCAAATGTACTGAATCCTTATCAATTTTTTTTCCTCTGAAATAGAATTTGCTTTATTGGTCTACTTTTTAAGTAGAATGAGCACAGTGGAAAATGCTTTGAAAGTTTATTGGAACAAATCTTCCGAGTTAGTATAAATCTTGCCATAAGATAGATTTAAGTTGAAAAGGATCATGTAGTAATAAGCAGTAATGGTGGTAAAAACGGTGTAACGACGATATGCTCACCAAGCTGTAATGTTCTGTTGCAGTCCAAGGACAAAATTTTGTGGGTACAGCATTCCTCATCCATCGGATAACCGAGTTAATATTAGAATCCAGACAACAGGTAACACATCCAGACCTTGTCATGGACTATTACAATGATTTTTTTTTTTCTCCATCAACCAATTTTTCCCATAATTGCAACCTTGCGCATATTTCTGGTTTATTTTTTTTCTTCTTTAAGATAGAGATATCATACTGATGGCTGCATGCATTTGGTTTTTGCTTACATTAGCAATGTGACAACAATGTTTTCACTTAAGCAGCCTCCAAAATACTCAATTTGTTGTGCCTTTGATACTTTGCCAAATGCCTAATCATATCTGTGTATTGGAGCCAAGTTGTGGAGTCTGAACCAAATAATTAACTGGAGCAACTTTAGTTCCTATAGAAACAGGTGTTTGATTGGTCATCTTAGTGTCGTCGACTCTCTTTTAATTTTTCATGGAGTTCTTACTTGAATGTGTATGTGAATCGCCCTATTTCCATCTCAAGATTGATATGTTTGGACCCATAATATAAGTGCTTTGGTGGGTAAGCATCACCATCTAACCTTGGGTCTAACGGTGGTGGTGATGGGGGATTGAGAAAGAGGGTTTCCAACTAGGTTTGGTTATGGGTTCGACCCCAACCAATTTATCAAACTGTAGCCGTTGTCTCTTCCAGGTAATTATGATGCAAAACAAAATTACCTCCCCATATCACTCCATAAAAATTGAAGGATCTCGCTTGATGTTTCTTTATGGAATTAGTGTTTTGGAATCAGTCGCTTGGTGTTTCTTTAAGGAATTAGTGGAGTTTCTAATGCATAAAACATTTGGTGTTTGATGAAATTTTACAGGTGATGCAGCAAAAACCGTATTCACAGATTCATGTCAGGATCTCATGGTGATGTGCCAACACGTGAGGAGCACTTTTGACAAGGCTGTTGTTGATTTTCGAATGAGTAAATCCGTAAATGGCATGGATATCGACTCAAATAACTAAACCTCGACATTGGATTGAAGTTGCCAAACCCAATGGTCGGACCAGATTGAGAATGAAACGTTGGGTGTTGCAGGTTTTTTGTGTCTTTAAATTTTATGAGGGTGTTGCATATGATGTTACTCGAAAGGCAGTAAATTCAAATTAAACATGTTTCAAACAGCGCGTATCTAACACTTGTAGATACATAATATTTTCGTACCCTTTTCCTTGTCTATTTCTGGTAAATAGGTTGGCATGCTTTCTGAAGCCAAAACTTTCATCGGATTTCACATTTCCATTGTCTTTTCCGTCATTGATTGATGTACTACAGTTTTGGAAGCAGAGATGCGGACTTCCGGCAAAGTGGCCGTCCATAAGAACATCAATCTGGCCACTCTCCTTCCACTTATCTGCTGCATATTTCACTTGTATGGCGCTTTTGTCATAGTTAAGTTTTGTGGCAGGATGCTCCTTCATTGTCTCCAAATATATCAATGGCTCCAAGAAATCCGAACACGTATCAAAAACATACAAATTGTTCAGCCTCAAATTAAAACAAATTTTGATCTCACATTTCGCTACACATCTAAGAGAGCTTCACTATAGCTATACAAATTTCAAAATTTAAACTCGATAAATAGGGTGATGAGTGTGGTGACCAAAACTATTTATATATTATGGTTGAGTTTTCAAATTGGATGGGGAAAAAGGATGGTAAGAGTAGGTTGTCACTTGTAGAAAAAACTACTTGCGTGATAAAATTTTAGGCGACAAACAATATTTTGTCGCCCAAGGATGGTGAAACAAATTTTCTATTTGGATGATTTTAAGGTTGGAAGTGGTTACAAAGTTGTTCAGAAGATTGATTATGCCTCCGGTTAAGATCCTATCCCATTCAAAAATGTACTTTCTGTGTTGCGGTTTGCATATCACCGGACTATTTCTGATCGTAAAAAATTCTGCAGCATCTCCCCAGGGTTCCCCAAGCGCACTACGTGGATATTACAGACAAATATCCACTATGCACTTGAAGAATAAGATACAATCGAATTTTCTACAGCCGAAACTTAGCCAAGTTCATCGCAAACCCTAAATACATACTAGTGCACTCCCAAACTATCCAAAATGGACAATTCAAGATTAAGTTAGATCACGGAGCCACATATTATGCCTGCACGTGTGTCCAACAAAATCTCAAACAGGTCTAAGCATATTTCGATTTTATTATACGAATTTAATCAACATAATTAACTTTGTATAAATGGAATGAAGTTATAACAAGTTCCACACCCCGAATTCCTACACTAATGCTGCACAAATTAAGTTTTCCTACTCCACATGTATTTCAAAAACAACACCTACAAATTTCACATCCTACATAATTCAACAAATACAATTATCACAACTAAATAAATTCATGCTTCCTACTAAAAACTAATCATAAATAACACATTTGAAGGAAAAAATAATGACAAACTCAAAATAAACTAACCTTCAAATATTTCGAAGAGGAAGAGATGGAGTGAGATACAACGGGGGAGGGAGGACGGCCGGGGGGCTGCAGAAAGCACATCAACGAAAAAAGGTGAGGGGGAAATGGGGGAAGAAGGCAGCAGAATCTGAGCTAAAAGGTAACCTACATCTTACCGACAGAAGCAGTCGTCGCGAGAATTCAAATACTTCGTCTCCTAACTATATATTCCCCTTTTTTTTACACATCACCTCTAGACTTTTCTAGACGACCAAAAAATATTACACGACGAAAAGGTCCGTCGGTTAACTACAATTTACGCGTCGAACAAGTTGTCCGCCCCATAAAAACCTCATTAAGTTAGCGCCAAATTTTTTCTTTGGCGCCAATTTTTTCCCAACAAAATATGGTTTACCCTACGAAATCTCTTTTGTCCCTCAAAATTTGGTAGGGCAAGCCGTACTTTCTCGTAGTGAGAGAGAGAGTAAACTGAAATGCCATTGTCAGCAAGTGATCATGTTGGCTTCTTCAATCCGGGAAGCAAGTTCTCAATTAGGACTTGCAGAACGGTCTCGATCAGGGTTTGTTTAGGTTTCAAGTAAGATTAGCATATAGGTATTTTTACAAAATGTGTTTTATCCCAATTGTTTTTGGGTTAGACAAGGCACATCTAATTTTCAAGTTAGGTGTAGCAAAATAAATATTTGGTTCAAATAAAATTTCTCTTTAGTAAATATGACTCATTTTTCCGCTCTTCCACGCTGAACCTAGCTCTTACAGATGGTACAAAAAGATGCTTAACGTCCATTAATCTGGAGGCTGCAATCTTCTTGTTATTCTTACGTACTGAATAACATTGCAGCCTTGTCATCACAGGAACTTTTTGAAGGTCTTACTATTGAGTTCACTACTATATATATATCATGTTGCTTATGATTGTTTTCACCACAGATCTTGGTTTGTGACCTCATTACATCGTATAAATTCTGCTTTTGTGATAGAGGTGGCAATTGTATCCTTTAGCATTACTCCATGATATATATTGCACCTCCAACCAAGAAAAAATGGTGCCCATAAGTCAATTTTCTATCGTCAACGTAGCCAGCAAAATCTGAATATGTATAGCCTAAAACCTCAAGTTTCTCAACGTTGCAACATAAAAGCCCGATCGAGTTAAAAGGAAATAATGAAACACCTTCTTTACACGTACCAAAGTTCCAAGTTCGTTTCCTTCTCTAATCTTTTAGAGTGTATGCACACCAGCTATCCCTTCCTCCCATAAGCGGATCTTAGTCCCATAAGTTAGGTCGAGTGCACGAGTCACTGGAATCTCTTGTTCCGGTGGTTATATATATATATATGTGTGTGTGTGTGTGTGTGTTGAAGTATATCCTCATTTAGGGGGTTGTATTCAATTAGGAATCTAAGGCTGTAATTATAAACTCCCACAAAATTTATGTATTTTAAATATTCACATATAAGTGGATAGATGCATATGACTAGAATACACCAAAATCGTCTAATTCATTGAATCTTACAAATTCACTGTTTTGGATACACTCTAACACTAAAAACACTTTCAAAGCCATTCATATATGACCAAACTTGGATTGAATCCTTAAAAATCTGAATTGAATACGATTTGAAAAACTCATTTAAAATCATAACGGGATAAAAATCTGAACTGAATAACAGTTGCATTTGAAAAACTCATGTAAAAAACATAATTGAATACGATTTTACAATCAAATTGAATTCTTTTCCAATAAACCCCTGAATCTTTGTTTCTGCTCCCTGTGTTTCCTTTCTCTCTCCATCTTCATACCCTAATCTGATTTATTCATAATTAAGTCACCCACCATAGCTAAGTTTATTGCAACAAAGAATACAATTTTTTCGTACCAAAATAAATTACTAAATTAAATCATCACAAGGTTCTAAAGCCAGATGCAGGAATTCGAGAAATAAAATTGGACGCTAAATTTTCTTATGTACATCAAAGTATTGGAAGTTAGCGAAAATGGAAATTAAAAAACTAACCGGCATAGCGAAAATGGAAATTAAAAAAACTAACCGGCAATCCAACAGCTATACTGAGAAGTGAAATTTTTATTCAGTCCAGAAAATTAAAAAACAAGAAAGCAAACTTGAATGAAATTAAAAAAACACAAAATAAAAGAAAGAAATATGTAACCAGAAACTAATTAATACAAACCTCTGCAACTAAATCGGGCTAACAAAGGAAGCAACTGATAGATTCAAAGATAGAGCACTCACGCCCAGTAGACTCTTACCTCTCTCATTATTTATCGATCAAAAGGTCCATTGGGATCGAGTTGTTTACACAAACCCAGATAGGTAAGATAAAGAACTCGATCCTTGGCACCGGTTCGATGATTTTTGGTGTGCTTACAGAAATATTTCAACTGCTCAAGCGTGCAGCAACCAAGCATCTGCCCCAGCAGCAAAAACAGCCAGTTAATCACCTTCTTCTTGTCCCCTATGATCGGTTTCGCGCTGTTCTCTTGTTTGCAAAACTTGCATGCAGGAAGAACCGGGTTCATCCACACACTCGGTGCCCTATCGCGCATCATGCTCTTGTTACCAGCAATAAAACTCCCAACCTCAAGAAACTTTTCCTTCAGATTATAATCCATCTCATATTGTCGTTCACAACGCTTGCACTGCACTTCACCAGTGATGGTAACGATTTGCCTTGAATGCAAGTATTCCAGACTGTGAACCATGGCCCGCCTTGTGGTAGCCCACGGAAATGGAGCCGGGACAGTCTCGCTCTTTCCCTCCCTCGGACCTTGAGTAGGGTTCCGCCGTGCACGCAGATGACGAGATGTGGGAACTCCGGGATTGGGCAAGGGCATGGACGGGGAGGAGGAAGATTGTAGTTTAGTCATGTAAAGTGGGTGTGAGGATGAGAGTTGGAGAGGATGAGATGAATGTTTTTGAGGCATTAGGGTTTGTATGAACAAGGGTGTTGGCTGCACTGACAGTGACGGCGATGATTGTGGTGGCACCGGCAGTGGCAACGATGCTGGTAGCTGTGTATCTACCGATGGCATTAGACGAGGTCTTGATTGAGGACGATTAGAGTTGAGCGAGAGAGCGAGCATATCGTTTTCTTCTGCTTCGAAATCGGGGCCAACATCTTTGTTGTTGTTCTTTCTCTTCTTGTTGTTTTCTTTTTCATTGTTGTTGTTCTTGATATCTTTGTCCCTGTTCTTCGTCATAGCTTTCTCGTTCTCTTTCATGGAGAAAAAAGTTTAATATTTGAAAAGAGAGAAACTCGAGTGAAAGAAAATATTGAAATAGTAAAATTGAGTTTGCACGTGTACTGATATTTATTGAGATAGAATTAGAAAGAGGAATTGAGATAGAGTTAGAATGCTATTCAAATTTTGAAATTAAAAAACTATTCAAATTCGATTATGGTTAGGTTTTCTTAATGGTGGCCATTATAATCTTTTTACATGATTTTATCGATGCCTAGTATTTTTTATTTTTATTTTTGGAAACTGGTTTTTTTATTTATTTTTGTTTCAATATAATTTTTAACCTATTTTATAGACACATCTGTTGTCCTTGAAAGAGTTATTTAGTAAGTAAAACGCTTACTTTTTGGAAGAGAGATTTTATAAACTATTCTGGATGCGGTTGAATTTCAAAGTTTGTCTAAAGCCAAATATTGTGACATTGTACAGTACAAGGGGACTAAATTTTCGTTGGTATTTTTAAAAGAAAATGAAATAAAATTCCTGTTGGTTTTAGTTAAGATTCAAAGATTATGTTTTAACTATTGTTCAAATCCTATGAATCTTGGACCTAATTGATGATTAACATTGATTACACACGGTTTGATGAAACATGCATCCTCTTTGGGTATGAACAATTAAAAGTTTTCGTGAATAATGATATGTAAGTTTGACTAATTTTCCTTATATCCTGTCTATTTTGAGCATGAAACTTATTAATTTTTTTCATTTGGTTCGAAAACTTATTAACTAAAGTTTGATTGGGTTCGACTAATTTTTCAAAAAACTTATCCTGAAATACGATGTTAGGACTAATATAAATCATTGATAAAAGGCTCCTACGAAAAAATAAATAACGCAAACAATTGTCATACTTAACTAGCAGAGAGCACATACTTTGTGTGTATGAATTTCTCTTAATAAGTGCATATTTTTTTAATAGTACATAATTACTGTTTTGTCCTCCTTATGTAAATATTGTGTATCAAAAGTGAGAGTAAAATTGAAAAAATAAGTATATGATTGTCATTTTATGAAAAAAAGAGGGTAAAATAGGAAAAATATTGATATGATTGTTATTTTATCAAAAGGTACAAAATTACTATTTTGCCATCCTTTTGTCAATAGTGTGTATCAAAAGTGAGGGCAAAATAGAAAAAAAAAGGGAAAAAAATTTGACAATGAGGGTTCTCTTAATTGTATAGATAATCAAGGCAAAATTCAAGCGGATATTATTTTAGAATCAGCTCACAAATATGAACGAATATATATTAGAATCAGTGCCATAACCTAAAAGCAGACATACTCTTTTTTGACATATAAAGTTATAAACTAGTTACACCATACAACTATATTCTAGTAAAATTTTCCAACCTGCCCACATCTTAAATGGATAATTTTATATAATTTTTCTTCCCCTTAAAAAGATAAGGCAAGAAAGGAAGAAAGAAGTTAGCACTGAAGTAGGACATGGCTAACGCATATCGGCAATGATAAAGTGAGATTGTAGTGTGTATTTAGACTGTAAGTGCAGACGATGAGTTTTTTCGTAAAGGTTTGTAACTTTAGTTATGAATTGTGTTACTTACAATCACCCATAATCTCTGGGTGTACAATATTAACAATATATAGATACACATATGGACATTATTATAGATATTGTTATGGATATCATATAAATAAATATGCGCACATGTCAACTTAATATTTACATCATTTGAATACAGTCTTACACTGTTCCAATATATAGGGCAGTAACATATATCTCAATATAATAGTGTGATGTTAGATTGCTATATAGGATAGGGTAATTTAGACGTATCATCTTATTAAACTATAAGTATAAGAGCAACAACTAAAACTACAAGTGACGTTTACCGCAGTGACAGAAAATAATCATGCATATACATCCTAGTGCGATTCGACCCCATTGATGCCCCTCCCCCTAACAACAAACAATTTAACTTACTAACTTTATCTTTAATTGTAAGAAAAAAAATATCAAAAACTGCAACGGACCAAACCAACTAGTCCAATTCAACAGTTTGATTCGGTTTTGGAGTCTATAGGGCCGACAATGAGGATGGCCAAGTAAACGACGAGGCCCAAAATATATGTTATATATCTTATAAGTATCTTACAAATAAGATATATAATTATTTTTTTATCAAATATCCATGCCTTAAGAATTTTGATCAATGTGTTTTGGTGCATTAGACCATGTTAGCATTTTTTTTATTTACCAAAGTAAAATTAACTAGTCTTTATATGCACCTACTTCTGCAGGTGCAAAGACCTTTCTTTAATCATGTGACTTACAAACCCTTGATTCACTTATCTATGCAGATTTTTTACTTATTTCTTATTTCGCTTGAGTTTGGAATGTGTGAGAGGTTTTTAAGTATTGCAATAATAGAACAACATATTAGAAAAGAAAATTAGAATGATTAGTTGATCACATAGTACTTTAAACTTTGAAGTGGCCATGAAGGTTAGTGAGGCTCTTACTTTTCTTCCTTCTCTTGTATGTCAATTAACAACTCTCTCCAAAGTACAATCAAATAAAAATTTAGTAAGTTGTATTTGATACAATAGTAAATAGTTTTCATTCTACAACTTAAGAAAACAAATTTAAAATACCAAAAATTCATTATAAACTACAAAGAATGTATTAAAAAAAAAAAATCAGAGAACACCAAGAATTATTCTGAAGGAAATATTGTGAAAAACTAAGTTCATTAAGCAACATAATGCATGCATTTAACGATTAAATGGTAAACGCATGTTTCTATGCACTTTAAAACAAAACTTAAACCATGAAATTCAAAGCCTAATAGTTGTGGTGAACCAAGATTCAACTCAAGAACACAGTAATAGGAGCATATTTATGCGACTTAGTGAGCTTGTTCTTGTGCATTTACGTTGTGTTTTCTTAGTTAAAGTAGTCTTTTACGCTAGTTTCATGTGTTTTCAGATTTTAAGGCAAAGTATGCAAAACGATGCAATTTGGAGCCTTTTGGAGCAAGATTGAGTTTGGAATGGATATCATGTGCTTGGAACGAAAGGAATAGACGAGAACGAAGGAGTCATAATTGAAGAAGGATTCCTAATCAATGAAGGAGTCCTAATTGAAGAAGGATTCCTAATCAACGGAGGAGTCATAGTCAAAGATGGATTCCTAGAAGAATGAGGATTCCTACTCAAACAAGGTTTCCTACTTGAAGTAGGAAAGTTAAGCCTAAAGTTTCCTATTTTGGGTTGATCTTTCCTAAACCTAGATGGCCTTAAGTTCCAGAGATTTTGAAGGTTTCCTAAGCATTTTTGGATACAAAGAAAGGTTCTAGAATATTTTTCCATAGGTGCACCAATTTCAGCAAAGAGACCTATTTTCCTTGCCTTGCAAGGCTTTCTAGAAGCCTTATCCTTTATTCCCTATCCAGCCGCACCTCTTGGCCTTTTCCCTTGAGGATTCTGATTGTTTAAGCCTTTTTCTTTGTGGATTTGTATTTTGCAAGTCCATATCTGATTTCCCTAGGGTTTTATGTGCCTATATATACTCTTATTCACCCCTTGGCCGAACTACCACCTCCCATATACATAAATCATGCCAGAAATTCATCCTTGCTCTCTGCCACAGCTTTCATCACCATTCTCCATAATTCCTGATCCTAAACACCCATTGCCGCACCACCCATCCATCCTAAACACCACTATACTATCCCCCATCCATTCTACACCATTCATAACCCCAAAACCTGTCCCCAAACTTTGTGCCGCAGCAAGGAAGAAGGAAAAGTTCGTGGATGCACCTGTTGTCCAAGTTGGAGTGTCTAGGTGTTTTCTTTCTTTGGATTTCAATGTCTAAATTTATTTATCTTTGCTTTGTACGTATGAGGAACTAAACCCCCCTTGGCTGGGGGGGGATTCGAAACCATGTTTATGCTTGCTATATAATTTAATTATTTTCAATTGCGTTTCATAAGTTGTGCATTCAATTTGCTTATCTTTATGAATTAAAACTGATTTGTGTGTGTTGGTTGAGAGTGCACGCTTAATTTTCATGCATAAATCTAATGCTAGGATATAAGAGAGTTTCACCTAATCGTTATGAACTTATATTTGCAAGTAGTAAAGGTTGTTGATCACAATTGTGTTAAGTAAATTCTTGGCATTCTTTAAATCTAGTTTAGTTTTAGAGTTTAGTTTTGCATTCTTTAAGTCTAGTTTAGTGTTTTAAACTTTGTTTTTACGTTTTTGAGTCAATTTTCAAGTGATTTAGCAATCCCTCCTAATCCTCGGCCTAGAACGATCCCTACTTACATACTTTGCTACAATTGATAAAAAGAGGGTTTAATTTGTGTGCTTATATATTTAGCATCACAAGTGAGTTGAGAAATATTATACCTTTGATGAATCCTCTTTGCATGAGGAAAGGCTAATCACCCAAGAGATAGGGCCTTCATTTCTTGCTAATTGCTCCATGATTTCTTGGAGAATGACAGGTGAATGGATTCTCCAAAAGTCTCCAAAGTTAGAGACCTCTAAGTTTCGACACCAAGGATGGTGAAGGAAGAAGATGAGTGACCATGGAAGACAAAATCGTAGCAATGTCTCCCATGGTGGTCGGCCTCTCTAGAGAGAAAGAGAGAGCTTGTGTTCTCTCATCTTTCCTCAAAGAAACCCTAAATGAAGAAAAAGATATAATGATACTTTTATACCTCCCTTCAATGGAGTGGCAAACTTGTAATAAGTCCAAAACCGTTCCCTCTCTAAGCAAGGCCCGCCTCCCTATTGTTAGTGAGTTAATTGCCCATTTTATTTTAGTTGTCACACAACTTAAACCTTATGTGCCTTGTGGACCAAAACCCTTTTGAGTGCCGTAACCTGAAACTAACTTAAGGCCTAAAACGAACCTTTCGTTCTTGATTAATTAACTTTTTAATTAATCTTTGCCATATACAATTAAACTATTTAATTGT